GTAATGTAACAGGTTTGAATAGCCCTATCATATCCTTGATTTCTTCTCTACGACCAGATATACATGTACTAATAAGATAGTCTTCAAGTAACTGACACTTGCCAACGATGCCGTCAAAGTCAACACTGTATTCAGCCACATTGCTATGCTATTTAATTTGACTGTTGTTGCGCCTTCTCGTACACCTTGTGAACGCCTCACACCTTTTCTGCTTGCCTCTAAACGCACATATTGGGTAAGTTGTTTGGATATCTGGATGAGAGATTGTTGAATATCATCCAATGTTTTTGCACCCATATTGTCGAGGATGATTGGCTCTGGATAACACGTTTACATCAGTATAATTCTGATGTAGAGAGAGAATAGAGAGGAATAGGAGAGAAAGAGGAGAGAAGAACAGGGAGGGAGATTCAAAGGGTTAAGAGAAAGTGAGAGAGAAAGACAAAGAAGGGTGACTAAATAGTGCGAAACATTATCATTAGGAAATCGCAGATTCAATTACAGAGGTATTTATTATTTAATCACTAGCTATTAGCAAATAACTAACAATAACGGCAACTAATATTTTAACATTACAATTATATAACAGCTTACAGGTACGAGTATGTGTCCTTAAGCAGTGGCTAAATCATTTCACTTTCCAGTACGATAAGATAACGAGTATCTCTTTTGCAGGGTCAGACTAGAACTTCTGGAGACCGCAAAATCACTTCCGAACACGCTTATCAGGATTTTGGAAGTTATGAACAGTGGGAACATGTCACAGGCAATTGAATGCTACTCCAATTTTGTTAGAGATGCTCACACTGGAAAAGATGCAGGGTAGACTAGTAAATCTTGTGTGTCCTGTGGTTTCACTTTCAATACTGGTTGCTGCTTATACTTACCTGTATTCTTTTTTGACAGCATACTTACCAGTGTTCTTTACAATGGCGTTATTGCAAGGACAAGTTTAGGGTTCCCATGGTTCATTTTATAAATTAATTCGAATAACTTAATGTAATTGCAGAAATATTCAGGAACTGTTCTACAGAACTTGAAGAACATGCGCGAACTCGTTATTTTCAACCAGGCCAACTGTGTATGCTTTAGCAAATTCCATACATAATAGCCTGATTGTAAATGAGTCTTCTCTTTTTCTTTGATTTGATGGAACTTTCTTTACCTCTCGTCTTTTCTTTGTTCTTGATATTTAAAGCAGAAGGGACAGTCATCAACCCTACGCCTGTCTGATATTAGTACTCAGAACATAAGAAACTTTGAAGTTATAATGTTATATTTGCAATTGACCTGTTATATTTGCAATTGACCTGGTTGTGCTAATGGTGACCAAACTTCCTTGTGTAGAACGACTTTGAGTCAAACATCCTATCATGTTTGTCAATGTGTATTGTCAATTTGCTTGGTGCGAAAACAATAATGTTAGAGCATAGATAATTCAAGTCCGATCTTTCTACTTGAAGTTATTAAGCACCAATTCTTAAAGCGGGGGGGGGGGGGGATAGGTTTGTATGACCTCTATCACAGCTACCACTTGTGTCAAGCAAATATTTACATATAAAATGTTCATCTATGCTATTGCTTTCTCTTGATTTTTGAATTTTTATCCTCATCCCTCCTTAGCCCCCCACATGTTTTTGTAATGGAATATAGAAAGAGACTAGGTGCTATGTGAATTGCAGGATGCAGCTCTGGCTAAAACGAGGGAGCTGAAGAAATTGTGTGAGGGAACACGCTCATCCATGTTTGACGGAAGACTTGTCAATATAATAGCAGAGATCAACGCTCAGTTGACAAGTGGCTTTGGAGCATGAAGGTCGCTTGTTGGTCACAATGTCATCTTGAAAGAGGATTGATCGCTAAAGAAATAATGGCCTCGACAGCGAGAGCTCTTTTTTTCAATTTTTTTTTTTAAAGGTCATATTACGTGCTCATTTTCCTACAAAGACGATACCTTGACGATTGGTAAAGATACACGGTTGGTTGGTTGAAGGATTCAATTACCAACATAGACCAACCAAGGAAAAAAAAAAAAAAAGGATTGAAGTATGAATGAATGAAAGGGGAAGAAGTGCCTATTATGGTTTTAACTTTTATATAAGCAGAAATTGGTGGACGTGGATGGTGTGATTTTCTTGTTTGTTGGTTATGAATATGAAGGTTAGATGTTGGCGAAGAGGCATGAGTTTGAGTTGTTTCAAAGTTGTGGACCGTAGCAGGGCTGTAAAAGCAAGATTCGCAGCAGTAATAAGCAGCTTTGACCCAGACTAAGACCTATGTTCACAGACCGAGAGTGGAATCCTTTCGTCGTACTCCTTCTGGGTCCTTGGGATTCCCTGCCTCCTTGACACGGCCTCTCTCAGTTCAGGCGTTCACGCTAAGATGGCCTTTAACCAGTAGGTGAGCGTGAGCCTTGATACCTAACAACTGCATAAGTCATTGCATGACAAATATATTATTGGTGAGGATGGTCAGTGTGATAAATGATAACTTGAATCTTGAATTACTAGAAGAGTGTTTAGATTAAATGAAGTGAATATCTCTTAAGAAAAATAATTTGTTTTAGGAAATTTGGCCAATTAAGCTTTCCAGCTAACTGGGGGAAGATCTGCTAAGCAAGAGGATACAAAGTCATTAAGAATAAATGTATAAAGGGATGAGACCCTTGTTTTGTTTGAAATAATGAAGATCCTTTATTGTGCTGGACAAGTCGTCGAGGAAAAGGATGGAACCTTGTTCAATGGGGGATGGTAGCAAAGGCATGATGAGCAATTGGTGAGGTAGGAAAACGGCAGCACCAACTGAAGGGGACGACAAGGAGATGAGAATGGGAGCGGATGAGGCCGACGTTATTTGTGGGCCCATCCTAATTTTCTGAACATGCGTTTGTACTTTTCTATGTGCCACTTTTTCTGGTCTTCGGGATCACTTCATTACCCATAAGTCCGTAACACACACGCTGACTGCATACCCTCCTCCACTTGACTAACCCTTCTTCTTCTGGCCTGATTTTCTAACCATTGGTTGATCTATAATCACTTTTGTTAGCTTTACAGTATTTTTGCCGATATCGTTTTACAAATTTCTTTGCGTTAGTAAAAGAGACGTATTTTTCCAGGTGCGGGGAGAGAGAGAGAGAGGGAGAAACTTATATTTAAACAAAATACCACAATCGGACCAAGCAATAAAAAATTAGGTTTACTTAGTATATGAAATAAAATGAAATGAAAAAATAAATCAAAATTATTTCTTGTAAACAATAAAAAATAAAAATACCTTCTACACGAATATCAGAGGTTGGGGTTGAGCTCACTGGAGGGAGCTAGCCTTAAAGGCCATCTTTGCTTCGCCCTCTGCCTCCATCCCCTTCATTAAATAAAGGTTTTAACTAATGTCCCTGATAAATTTACCTCTATTGACTTATAAATTTTTTGGGAAATTATTTTATCCTGCTTCACTAAAAACGGAGGTGCAACCAACTCGAGATATCAAGTTGGCTGTGCCTGAGAATCGAGCCTTAAGTTAGGAGCTCCATTTCAACGGATCTGATCTTGTCATTTTTAAAGGTTTAAGTTTTAATTAAAGATCTTAGATTGAAGAATCTATAGATGAGATTGTTTGCGATCGGAAGTAAGGGACGAGCCGAAAGATAACATTTTTGTTGAAGAAAGAATCCTTATACCATGGTTCGCCAAGAAAGAAAGCTACATAGGGGAATCTAGGGTTGCATGATAAGGAGAATTACAAGAATGCATGGCAATCCCGAAGCCAATTCACAGGAGGAAAAAAAAAAAAAAAAAAAGAACAAACAAATTGCATGTTAGAAGTTTAAGTTTCACTGAATTTGAGTTAATATGAGAAAGCTTACATGAGATGAAATTAAATTTAATAATTAATATATAATAAAAATAACCCATAAATTTGGGTTTTAAAATTTTAAATCAAGAAGATATTTTCTTCGGTTGCCCCTTATAAAGGAAAGTCTTTATTCAAACCATGCTACCACGATGGATGGCTGTCAGTGACCAAGATCACGTCATGTTCAAACCCTCTGGTAACTTCACTCGCAACATCGGAATCTCTTTCCCTTTGTATTTTCTCTTGCAGAAGGATTCTTTTCTTTCTCTTTTTTCATTACCACAATATTCCAAAAAACTGGAAAGTATTATTGCAATACACACAAATTAATTTGAATTCCCGCCATGTGAGATCATAGTATATTTATTCAATGCGATGACTGTTGTGGTGCCAGAACTCGAATTCAAAGTCATAAAATAAGTTGATTTTAACTTCTTAGTCAGTTAAACCAAACACCCTCGATGATATAAATATATTTCTAACAAAATGTAGAAATAAAATGATGTGTTAGAAGGTTAATGTATGAAATTAATATGGAGGTGGACTTATGAGGCGGAGAGAACATAGGGGAAGTGGAACTATTTGAAAACCAGAGTGAAGAAGAAATTGTTAAAATGTTAGATGCGGAGCCTGTCCCATCCCTAGAAGCACGATTTGACAGGGCCGTGCCCAGAAGCAGAACCTCGCACATGCCTCACCAAATCAATTAGGCCCCACCACCCCACGACACTCACCCTACTGCCAGTGTTATCACACATCTCATTTTCTGCTCCCTTTCAACCTCATCAACCTGCCATACCTGTGAATGCAAATAGCCCTTCATCACCTTATTCCCATTCAGACCCAACAACGCAAAAACGCTTCAGGGTTCCGAATCATCAATGTTACTTCCAATACTTTTGTGTCGGCTATTTCATCTCTTTTGGATTATATATCATCATCAATATCGTTAACACTTCAATATATCCACTCCGTTGACTCCTATTCTTTGAATTTTTTTTTATGGTCAGTTGACAACAGACAAAAAAAAGGCAAGGCATCCAGCTACAAGGTAGCATCGGAGATCCTCATGGGGCATGTACATATCAATTGAAAATGCGTCAGTGATGACAGACCATGGATACAAACTTATAAAGCCAGAGTCACGACAACAAAAAGATTTAAAAACCATCGTATGTGAAGAAGGTTGAGTTTTAAACCTTCTAACAAACCAAAATACTGTCTGATCAATCAACGAGATCCTGTATTCAACACATCACATACAGTTCAAACAAAACGCAGGCAAGAGATGGAAGAAGCACTCTAGAGAGACCAGTGCATGTGATGCTGAGAATCACCATAGACCCTCGACTGCTCTAGATCCATGTAATGCCTCCTGCCCTGTTGTGACACGTCAAGCTCCCCAGGAAGAGGGCTGCTGATAGGCTGCGAAATTTGGTGACCCAGGCCCAAGTCAGGGACAATGTCATGAGAACAGCTATCAGCAGCAGCAGCATCAATGCCCTTAAAACACCATGAGGCATTTGAAAGTTGATGATGGAGGGAAGTTCCATGTCCATGATGAGAAGATGCAGGGAGTTGTGTGATGGGCGTGTCGTCAAAGCTCATAAAATTATTTGTACCAAGACTTGGTGCTCTGTTTCGAGGGGCCCAAGCTTGGTTTGACAGAAGAGAGAGAGCACAGCTTGAGTCTGTCAATCCTGAAAAGCTTTCCCCTGATGAAGAATTTCTGGAGCCAGAGTAGCTTGTCCCGCCAACTGGAGAACCTGCTTGCAAGAAAAGCAATGATGGAGACTCTGAATGGCCCTGCCATGGAAGTGTCACTGTTGGATTCCCAGGAAGCTGCTCAGATGATGTTGGTGTTGGCATCGAATTTCTTAGGCTAAGTTTAGGATATGAAGCGAATTCCATTAGAAATCCACCACCTCTGCTATTGTTGTTATCTGTTGATGCAAGTATCGAACAATTAATTCCGCTCTAGATGCCAAGAATAGCACTTGTGAGAGAGAGAGAGAGAGAGAGAATTGATATTTTACTGATATTAATAATGTCTAACCAAAACTAGCTGGAGCAAGTCGGCCATATCGAGAAGCCATCAGGGAGCCAGGTGGGGGTTTTCTCCTCCTTTCGTTATGACCAGCAAGTCGCCTGCGACAGCTTCGCTTTACTTGATCAAATTCAGAGAGCTGGTGAAATCTGGTCAAGGCTATCAAACAAGATATTAGATTTCCTCACTCAAGAACAGCCAGATGAACTTAGCCACCAAGGCAAAGTTCTAGGAAATATGGAATGCAAACACAGGATTTATGGAGCACTAGCATCAAGTCAATTGAACTAGTTCTAAGCATTACAATTACTGACACCTACGTTAGTTTAACTTAGAGACAGCAATTGATTTTCACACATACAACGTCAAATCTTACACAAGAAATGGTGAGCTCCATGGTAAAATACTAGTTTTAGACCGGCAAAAATATACAGCAAATACTCAAGCAACATGCCCCCAAAAAAGAAAAAATTTACATGCACACGTATGCAATATGAGATTGAGGTTAAAAAACAACAATGGAACATAACAAAGCAATTCAAATTGAAGTGGCGAGCCAGCCAATCAAACATGTCAGTATCCCATGAAGGTATTATTTACAAGCCTGGACTTTTGGTTCAGCTCCAGGGAAAAGACATTGAGAATTGAGATCTAGTTGACATCCTAATAATACCTTATAACTTCAGGGGATAACATTAAAAAATATCGCATACACATTATATCACAAGGCCAAACAGGCGCCCAACTAGCTTAGCGATTGGTCCACACTTATTTTGATAATGATAATATAAGCATAATTCAAGTCCCAAAGGTAATAAATTAAAACGCCAAATGAACTACCGTCCAACAAACCAAGCATGAAAGAAACAGAAGAGCATCTGACATTTTTCTAACACTTAATAGAGGTCATAAACCCGTATTTTGTATATTTATAGACTGCTATTAAAGATAAGTGTCGATTATGCTGTCATTTCCTAAACCATCCCCATCCAGCATTTAATTCATGGCTTTCAAAGCAAAGGATCCGCATGCAACAATTAATGCACCCCACCAACTAGGCTAGAGCATTCAATAGTTTCAGAATTTCATACTAATTCAGGCCAATGCACTGGCAGACAGACCGTGTAACACATTTACGGTCCCCCAAACTAGATGACCATCCAACTACGAATTTTGAAGGCTTTTAGGAATATTTGTCCGTTACATACTCACCCGGGACGCTGATTATCATGTTTCAGAACCAATTAGCCAAGTTAAAAAATAAACAAATCAACGTACTAACATGATATAATTCTAAATGCACAGAGCTACTAAAACCAGAACACAGGTTAACAATAAGCATTGAAGAAAGGAAAAAAGAGGAAAGTTCACATAAAGCACGGCATGACATCAACGGAAAAAGCCCTCACCACCCCAAAACAGGAGAAAACCAATACAAACAAACGTTGCATGTCCTGTCTTGTCTCAGTTTGTGTGAGGGGGGAGTTGCTGTAGCCTATAGACTTGCTATATTAGACCAAGTATCATAGGCTCACTGAGACTCGAATATCCACTAAACTATCCATGAAATTGCATACTGTTTCCTCCGTATTTCCCTTCCACCAACGAAATCCACAAAATTTCAACCCCGAATTTACCCTCTAAACCCCAATTATCGGACTACTAAGCCCTATTCCCTAGCGGCCCTGCACTAGAAGGGCAGAAACATACTTGTAACCGCAGCGAAATAAGACAACAATCACCTACAGCGGACGAAATGTCGGTTAATAAAATACTGATGCCAAAAACCAGAACAAGAGAGCGGTGAGAAAGGAAAGGCGAAGATGAGAAAGGGCAGGGCACAAGTTTATTCTGCAAGCAGAGAAGTAAATGTAAAACAGTATCTACAGACTGTGATTAAAATAAAATGAAACAGCTTAAAAAACAAAGAAGAATAAAGAAGAGTTTATTAGAAGTATGGAAGGAGAGAAGAGGAGGAAGGGAGGAGGGACAAAGGATAAATAAAAGAGGAGGATAACAGAGGTGACCTGCTACACTGTTGGCAAAACCTTTGCTCTTGACCAGCGACAACGACCTTGGGTGATTTGGAGTGCACACTACAGACTTTATGTCTGGAATAGTAAGCCTTGGCATCACTCAGATCTACTTTGCAGCCCTCCACCTGACACCTCGGAGGCTGAGCCCCCTGAGCCCCACTCCCCCTTCCCTTCTTAGGCGGGGTCACCCCTGCGGAGGACGCCGACGCCCCACCGCTGGATTTCACAGGACCTCCCACACCCACATCCTCGAAGTATATCTTCTGACCGAACTTCAAGCCGTTCAGGGACTCCGTGGAGGAGTTGGAGGCGGCGGCGGCGGCTTCAGAAGCAGAGGCGGAACTCATAAGTGAATAGTAGCAGGAGCGGAGTGCAAATTCTGCACGCACTGGAAAAGAACGAGGGGGAGGGAGGAGGAAAAGAAGGTAGTGCGAAGTGCGTGTTATTGATGGAGGAGAGGGGCAGAAGGGTGGGGGGAGTATGAGAGAGAGAGAGAGAGAGATCAAACGAGTGGTAGTGGGAGAGCAACGTGGAAGATGATAAAGGAGATGGTGGAAGGAGGGCAGGGAAAAGCAGTGACCTGACGCTGGGCCATGGCAGTATAGTACACTCAGACGCCGTCGGTCAAAAAAATAATGGAGGTGAAAGGCGAGATTGATAATGGAACGAACGGGGATATGTACTTTGCCTCCTCAAAAAAAAAAAAGAAATGGCTTTGGGGGGTGGGCTGGTCTGAGCCTGAGTCCTGAGAGCGAGGGAGTGCGGCCGTGAGGGGGAAGAAAGAGGGAGGCTTTTACGATTAAGGTGGTGTGAGGACTGAGGGTCTCACGCAGGGGCAATTATGGTCCAAGTGGAACCGTCGTTTTTAACAACTTTTTGGGTGTCTCAGTCACACCAACGAGAAAAAGAGAAACAGAATTGGGATCATTATTAGAAAATTTTAAAAAGGAATGTGTTTCAATTTGAGCAGGCACGCTGGATGAGTGGGAGATATTTGAGTCCGTACTATATTCTTGGGTCGGGTACGTTATATTCCGGTCACCTCCCCCTTCTCTATTATTTTATTCATTTTCTATCCGCCAGATTCTTCCCCAGCGGCCGGCAGCATTTAACTTAGCTTGAACATTTATTTGCCTTTGACGCCACCTGACCCAAAGTGCCCTTGTTTATTTATTTTACTTCCCCATTGATGTGATGTGACTTCAACAAAATATCTGTTGCCATCCACATGACTCGCTGTCTAATTGTTCTCGACCTCAAAATAAAAGCTTAATTGCGGCATAAAATTTGAAGGATTATTTATAACTTTTTTTAAAGAGATCAGTTAATTTAAGTTAAATTTTAATTAATTAATTTTAAAATGTTAATAAATTCTTTTGATTTTTTTTGTGATAATAAATTTAATATATTTAAAAATTTATAAGTTTAACTCTTAATGTTATAATTTTATTATGATATATTTAAAATTTATTTTAAAATTTTAATATTATTAAAGAATAAACAATAGGCCAAAACAAATAAAGGATACATTTATTTCATTGATAAATGGGCAATAGGTGAAGAATGAACAATACACTTAATATTTTTTTAATATTAAATATAAATATTTGTGTTTCCTTTTAAAATAAAAAAAAATAAGATGCAATTCATTTTAATAAAGTTATAAAATTAAAAACCTAACTTACAATCACTAAAACTGTTAGATTGATATTTTTCAATATTAAATTGATATTTTTTAATATTAAAGATAGACATTTATACTCCCTATTAAAATTTAAAAAAAAAATTGTAAACACATCACAGCAAAGTCATAAAATAAAGAGTCAAACTTATAAATTTTTAAAAAATTAAACTTAATATTTCTCAACATTAAATATAAACATTTATATTTTATATTAAAATTTTAAAAATAAATGACAGATATATGACAATAAAATTATAAAATTAGCAGTCAAATTTGTAAATTTTATTGAATTTATTATCAATAAAGGACCATAAGACTTTATTAGTATTCTTAAATTGATTGAAAATTAACTTGAATTAACTTATCTCCTCATGACTTTCTCAAATCTAATATAATTTGTAATAAAAATTTTAAAACGTATATGGGCGCATCGACTTATCACTGTGAAAAAAAAAAAAATCAGGGAGAATTGAACCACCAGTTTCCAAGACTAACGCATTTAAAATAAAAGTTCAATAAAATCAAAAATAATTCTGCTAGTCTAGGAGCACTTTTTACAATCGAGTCTTCAAGTGGAAAGATGGAATTGCTCTTTTATAAAACACGTAACAAAATATTTGTAAATAATATGTAAGGTTCATTTATTAATAAGAAAACATTTATCTATTTCATATAATTCACGTATTTATATTTGTTAAATGGGAAGAAATGTGCAGAGAGGAAATGTACCAAGTAATATTTATAACAAAACTCTTATAAATAACATTTAAAGTCTAATTATTAATAAAAAATATTCATTCATTTCATGTAGTTTATATTTGTTGAATGAAAGGAAATTTACAAGTTATGTAAATGAAATTTACAACAAAAAATTTGTGAATGACATTCAAATTTATTTGTTTACAATAAAATGTTCTTTTATTTTACATAGCCCACACGCTTCACACTTATTGGATAAGAGGACATTTACAAATCAAATTTGCAGCAAAACATCCGTAAAAAAAAAAAAAAGATCAAAACTCTTTTATCTTCAACAAAAGATCCATTTATCGCATAAAGGAAAAATTTTGCCTTTTTGTCAAAAAATTTTATTGCAAAAAGAAAAAGAAGTCATCCAGCATGCAAAATCAGTTAAAATTCTATAGAGCCTATAATGCAAATATATTAATTACAGGGCCTATAGTCAATTCTCCCGGAAAATTAAAATGTGTAAAAAAATCATACTATCCAAAAGATGTAAATGAAACGTCTTAAGAAAATATATTTAGCATAGACAGGTATAAAATACAAAAAAAAAATATTCATGCAATATAAAAAAAACATAATTATGCTCGTTAAAGATGAAACTTATTCCTCTCATTTCATGTATAAAAAACACAACTACATGTAATGGAATTTACAACAAAACCAATCATTTATAATATACTCTTTCCTTTAAAACTATAAAACATTTTGAATCAACTATTACTTTCAATAAAATAGTTGCTTATTTTTCAACTAACCTTATTTTTTTATATTAATCTCAATTAAATACCTCATAATAAATATAAAATTACTATCCATAAAATTTTTTTTAAAAAATAATAATTATACTTAAAAAAATTAAAATATTTTATATTTTTAAATAGAGAAATATAAAAAATATCCTTTATTTTCCACACATCAAGATGTTGAAAAACATGTCTAATTAGTAAAATCTGCAACAGACCAATCATTTCAGGCATTATTTTTTATTAATTAAAAATTGTATTATTTTTGACATCATTGTCTTTTAACATCTCGGTCTTATTTATAGAGACAAAAAAAAATACTCCATTTTTATATATAAAAAAATTATATCACATGATTTAAAAAAAATCAATTAATTATAACGATTGTATTTGAAAATAAAAAAATGAATTAAAATATTTTATATTAATTAATATAAGTACACATTAATTATTTCTCGTTGATGTAAATTATGAGAAGTAATTTAAAAAATATGTAATAAATGTTTTATTGGAATGGGCAACTTGACTTGTAAAAAAATATTCCCACATTTTTAAATTATAAAACACTTTTAGACAAAATTTCATTTGCCAATAACCTTTATTAAATACAATTAACAATATTTTTTAAAAAATAAAAATATAAACTTTTAAAAATACCCTTCATTTAATAACCTTAAATTCATACCTAATTAATATTAAATAGAGAGAGAGAAAATGTAATGTTGGAATAAGCATATTTAATAAAATCTTAATTTTTTTAAAGTATTTTATATTTTGGAACAGCAAATCATTCTCAAAAGTATTTTATAATTTAAAATGAAGAGAGTATAAGTTAAATGTGGTAGTTTCGCTGACTATAAAAAATGGAAGAAGTATTTGTTTTGGACATATTCATAAGAGACACAAATTATTATTGTATCTATATTTACTTTTTGATCTTTATTAAACATCGAGAATGTTATTAACTGCTATAACATATTTTATTTTTAAAATATGCATATTTAATAAAAATAAAATTAAAAGCTTTTAGATTTTTAGACAATAGTTAATAAAGACTAGGATTTTTGTTTTTTTGTTTTTATAAAATAGATTGAGAGAGAGTTATAAATAAAATTAAAAGGAGTGGGCGCACGTATAGCATGGCCAAAATACATCCGTGGGTATTGAGGAAGGAAGCTTGACGGAAGTGTATTGCCAGCTTTGCAGATCCGCCGGGCAACAAAAGAGATTTTGAAATCCGAGTAAGGGGGACTGATTCTGGGAAACATGCCGTTCGTTGGACACTGCGAAGGCGATAAATAAAGAAAACACAGAGAAGGCCAGGATAGTAGTGCCTGTAATTAATGAACTCATAACGAGAATGCTCTGCAGTCTGCACCCTCATTCTCTTCTTATCTTCATAAATGTGTCATGCTATACATACATATATATATATATATATATTACACATTCAAATCCTCACAAGTACTTTGATCAACTTCATCCTTACAAACCTGGATGCCATTTTTGGACAAGGCAAAAATCAGTCACTGGCCTATGCCCTCTCGCCGCTCTACCCTCGCTCATTAATGTCATCTCGTGTATTACCATATTTTCACTTCAAGTCCTTTACCCACGGCCTGTATTCTACATGTCCTCCACAAAAACTACAGCCACGAGCTTGGAAAACCATCATAGAGGGAACTGACTTATTGTCATAGACTCGTGGGAATAATGACGCTATACACGCTCCTAACACGCGCGCACACATTTGCAGCAGTCTTTGATTTTCAATAGTGACAAGTCTTTGTATTATTATATACTCACTTTATCTCTCTACATAAAATATTTTTAATTTAATCACATATATTAATAAATTTTTTATTTAATTGAATTCTCTTAAATCAGAATAATTTTTAATTTTACTCTTAATAATATCAATTAATATAATCGTGATAATAGATAAAGCATACAAATAATATCTCTTTTCTTTTTCTATAACAAGAGTAAAATTATTTGATTATTCAAAAATATCATGATACTTCTTATATTTAAAGATAAAATAAATTTTTAAAAAACCTTATATACAAAAGTAATGAAGGGAGTGTACATTTGTGTGTGATGGGGAGATTCACATAATTACACAATTTTACAAAGATAAAATTGGCCTCAGTTATAAAGTATTTCCTCATTCCCTCTATATAAAGTGTTTTAATTAAATTTTGCTTATCAGTAAAAGTTTGTTAGTTAGTTGAAAATCCATAAAATCAAAACATTATTGAGTTTTTACCCCTAAAAAAATGTCATAATTAATATTATAATGGTGGGTAAATCACACAATTAACATCTCTTATTCTTTTCAAGATAAAATTGAAATTGTTTAATTACTAAAAATTATTATGATACCTCTTATGTTTTAGGATAAACAAAGCTTCTAGAAAGCACCTTTACATATATAGGGATGAAGAGAGTATCTTATAAAAACATGAAATAATATAGTACCATTTAATGCTTATCACTTAATTCTAA